AGGGTGTTCCGTCGCCCACTGCGACCGGATGCCCAACTCGACAATCAGCAAGGGTATCATCCCGTACTCGCCATCCGCGTGGCGTTTCCTCGCATCAGCCAAGCGTGTCTCCAAGGTGTGCGCTACAACCCGCATCAACTACGGGGTCAGCCACGGTGACTATCGCTGCTGCCGGCCTACGAACAACTTAGTAGGTGGAAAAGTCGGCTCCTATCTGAAGGTCGCGTGTTCGTTCCACGCTCACCGCACCATGAGGAGAGTCACTCTACAACGGTAGTGAGCTAGACTACAGGGGTTGGCACAGACTACTAAGAGTGATCGTAGATTTGCTTGGTTCCTTAGTGCTTGCACATTCACGGGAGAAATCGGCAAGAGTTTCCACTAGCAAAGTTGGAATTCCAGAATGATTGAACAAGAAATGACAGAATGACTACATCTGGCACCTAGCCTGGTTGACCGCCAGCACAGCTCAAGGAACACCACTTATTGGTGGTGGTAGACATTGCATGGCTGCAGATTCGGAGTTGTTAGCAGTTTGTTAAGAAAATGAAACAGGCTTGTAAAAACCTGTGTTTGTTTGTAGAAAAAACTTCTTTTGCCAGCACAGCTCGGTCAACCGCCTGCCAGCGTTGCTTATAGGAGCCGCGCCAGCACTGCTGAAAGGCGACCTGCCAACAGAGCAGGTCGACGGCGTGCCAACGCTGCAGCGGAGCGGCTGTCCAGCGTTGCCCCGTAGAACACAGCAGAGCGCACGCTCGCAGGTGCGCGCAGAGAATTGGCCCGACTTGCCTTGTTGGGCATTCGTCGGCTCTTGTCTGCGCCTAACAAGCCACATCAACTTCAGGATACCAGCCCGCAGTCGTATTCGCCATCGCGACCTCGACGACGTTCGCGTGCCTCCGCAGAACTCGTCGAGCAGGTTACCCGGTCAACCCGACCACCACCAGGTGCTTCTGGTCGACCACCACTGCTTCTGGTCGAGCCCCCAGGTCCCTCTGGTCGACCGCAACACCCGTCGAGCTACCCCTTGGTCGACGAACCCCTTCCGTCGACCAGGACCGTCAGTGGTTGTCACCGAGCTTCCCTCGTCGACCGCTGCTCACGTTGTCAGGTCGACGGACTGCTCCGTCGACCTTCCGGTCAAACTGTAGGTCGACGGGATGCTCCAAATACCATCCGGTTGAGCTGCAGGTTGACGGGATGCTCCGGAGACCTCCCGGTCGAGCTGCAGGTCGACGGGATGCTTCGGAGACCTCCCGGTCGAGCTGCAGGTCCTGGTCGATGTCCCACCCGTTGCCCAGACCAGTCAGTTGCAGTTGTCGAGCTCCCTGGTCGACAGCAACACCACAGCAGTCCCCTGCAGCTCGACGAAGCCTGTCGAGCAGCTCTCCAATTGTGAACGGTCGGCTGCTACTCCCGTACATCCGACCAAGTCGTCGGCGTTGCCCAAGTGAGGGCGAGGCCAACACTCCATTCCCGTTAACAAAGACGACGCTGATGCCGCTGGGGAAAAAACTTAAGGAGGCTGCACCCGATAGTGTCGCCTTTCAAATGGGCTGATAAGAACACGTCGGAGTGGCTGCTCGGAATCTAGATCACCTCTGGGGGCTCACCGGGACCTGCATGGGACAAAGCCTGTGGAAAAGTTAGCACGGTGCTGAGCTGTTGGGAGACAAAACATCTCAAAACTTCAGCGCGGGTCACAATCATAAATAGTTATGCGATGCCAATTCAGCTATTTCATGCGCAGATTTATGCCCCACCATACGAAGTCTGAACCAAGGTGATGCGGCTGTGCCATAACTTCATCTCTGTAGGGAAGGCGCTCCTTGACAGGCACTTCACAGTCTGAAGTTATGGATTGTCGTGCAGAAGACGGAAAGATGGGGGTCTGGGAGTGATTGATCTGAAGCATCGGATCGAGAGCACGGTGATCCAAGGCTTGGGGAAGGCCCTGGCGGAGCAAGAACCACTTCGGAACTGGCTATGAGAGAGAGCGGCAGCATTCCCCACTCTGTCTGGCCACGATATACGCGCACCCTTTGATCCTGAAATACTGGCTGTCGAACTCATATGCTATAGTCTGTGTAGGCTGTAGTGGGGTAGACAATATGGGGTACAACACTTATAGGTTTTCCTACTTGTATCCACCTGTTTGCTAGTGCATTCATTCCTCATTTCTTCACATGGTATAGAGCAGGTTCCCTAGTGGGAACGCTTCCTCGGGCTCACCACTGAAATCGATTTTCCTTTTTTCTGACCGTAGCGCGAGTCGCCCCTGCCCGAGGGCGCGCCCCATGGGCCACCCTCTCGTCGCGTCCCCTGCCCTTAGCGGCCTGTCCTGCCCTCCTAGAGGCCCCTCTCACGGCCCCTCGCGCCACCCTTAGCGGCCCCGTCGCCACCCCTAGCGGCCCCGTCGCCACCCTATACGGCCCCGTCGCCGTCCTTTGCGGCCCCGTTGCCGCCCTTCTAGGCCCCTCGCGGCCCATTCGCGGCCCCGTCGCCGCCCCTAGCGGCCCCGTCACCGCCCTTCGAGGCCCCTCTCGGCCCCTTCACGGCCTCGTTGCCGCCCCTAGCGGCCCCGTCGCCGTCCCTATCGGCCCCGTCGCCGCCCTTAGCGGCCTCGTCGCCACCCCTTGCGGCTCCTTTGCGGCCTCGTCGCCGCCCCTAGCGGCCTCGTCGCCGCCCTTAGCGACCCCGTCGCCGCCCCTTGCGGCGCCGTCGTCGCCCCTTTCGGCCCCTCCCCGGCCCCTTAATCGCCGAGCCGCCGAGCCGCCAAGCAGCCGAACCGCCGAGCCGCCGAGCCGCCGAGCCGCCAAGCAGCAGAGCCACCAAGCCACCGAGCCGCCGAGGCCGCCGTCGAACCGCCACTACGGAGCTGCTGCCGCCGAGTCGCCGTCCAGCCGCTACCTGCCACTGCCGAGCTGCTGCCACCGCGGTTGCAGCCCTGTTCTTACCGGCGCGCCCTGGCCCTACCCACCCGGACTGGTGAGAGCACTCCCTGCTAGACCACAGCTGTCATGGCTACCCCCAGTGTCCTTACCTTTGATGCTGAGGGTCCTGTTGTTGACTTCGAGGTCTGGGTCGATGACCTACGGCTCTTCCTACAGTGCGATAGGGCAGACGGACTCTCCCTGTTCGATCTCACCTCTGGTGCCTCTCCTGCCCCGCCTGCTGATGCTGACAGCATTGTTCGCTCACAGTGGGCCACACGCGATGCTGCTGCCTGTCTTGCTGTGCGTCGCCACTTACCGACCGCTGAGCGTGCGCACTTTAGTTAGTACAAGAGTGCTAAGACCTTGTACGACGCTGTAGTTTGCACGTTACTCTTCCCCTGCCACTGCTGCTCTTAGCTGCCTCATACTGCCGTACCTGTTCCCTGACCTTGCTGCCTTTCCCACAGTCGCTGACCTCATTACTCACCTTCGCACTAGTGACACTCGCTACCACGCTGCGCTTTCTGCTGAGTTCTGTGCAAAGAACCCTCCCCCCATGTACATCACCCTCTACTACATAGTCACCCGGCTCCCTGACTCCCTTCGCTTAGTCAGGGACCACTTCCTCTCAGTTTGCCCCACCACACTCACCGTTGACCTCCTCGAGGAGCGCCTCCTGGCAGCAGAGAAGAGCATAGTCGCTATAGGAGCCTCTCATGGTGACCCTCGTACCCCTGTCTTTGAGGGGTGTTCCCCCTCCCCCCTCTTGCCCTCTATTGCTTCTGCTGCTGCGGCCGACCTCGTTGGCTTCGAATCGGTCGGAGCTGCGTCTGCCCCTAGCGGGAGACGCCGCACCGGCAAGGGCAAGGGGGGCAAGGGCGCTGGAGGGGCTGGCGGGGGCGGTGGAGGTGGAGGTGTAGGCAGTGGAGGGGGTGGGGTTGGTGGTGGGAGTGGTGGCGGGGGTGAAGGTGTCGGTGGTAGCATTGGAGGCGGAGGAGGCGGCGGCGGTGGCGGTGGGAGCGGAGGCGGCGGAGGTGGCGGAGGCGGCGGCGGCAGCGGTGGAGCTGGTCGCGGCTCTGTGCAGAGGAGTGGCTCAGCGCCAGCTGCAGCAGCACACTCGTGAGACCCTGTCCCCCCAGCAGCTTCGTGAGTGGTACGCTGGGCTTCAGCGAGGTGGGGGTACTGGTCCCTGCACCTACGTGCTCCGTACTAGCGACCGCGCTGGTGAGCAGTGCGGGGGTTCGCACTCCACCCAGCGCTGCTTCGGCCGCCTGACGGACGCTTGGCGTCACCAGTTCCCTGACGCCACTGAGATCCCTCGCTGGGGAGAGCTGTCTAGGGCGGGGGTTGCTATCTTTGATCTTGACTATGATGCTATACTTGCTGCCATGTATGCTGTGTCTACTAGTGATGAGGGCGACTGTTACTTGTGTGTTCCACCTGACCTGGGCATTGAGACTGCTGCTCTAGGTGCTATTGAGTCTGCTGCCCCCGGTGCTGGTGAGTCTGCTCTCTCAGGTACCACGTCGGCTCAGGCCTCCCACACCTTCACCCTTGACTCGGGTGCTTCCCGCTCCTTCTTTCGAGACCGCACCACACTCCGCCGCTTAGTCGGCCAGTGGCGGTCTTCTTGGGAGACCCCTTCGGGGGTCCTGTCCTTGCCCACTTCTCCACTGTCTTACCGTGTCCGGCGGCCCCCTCTGGCACCCTGTCAGGTCTTTACCTCCCCTCGTTCTCTACGAACATGGTGAGTGGTGCAGATCTACAGGATGGGGGGATTCACCAGTTCACTCCTGCGAGTCAGCGAGTGACTCACTGCACGTGTGCTCGGACGGGCCGACACTTGGCCACGTTTACCCGTCGACCGGGGTCAAGCCTGTACACACTGACTACTGGTCCTCCTCAGTCTACTGCATCTGGTCATGTAGCTGCGTCGGGTAGGCGTCTGCTACGACGTCCAGGTCTGGTCCTGACTCTGCCCCCTGCTCGTGTCGTCTCCTGTCTCACCAAACTCTCCTCTGGCACCACCGCCTTGGTCACCCCTCCCTGCCTCGTCTCCGAGGCATGGCCTCACGTGTCTTTGTCTCTGGTCTCCCCCGGTCCCTCCCTCCCCTCCCTCCGGAGCCTGCCCCTACCTGCGTTCCCTGCGTCGAGGGGCGGCAGCGCGCCGCCCCTCACTCCTCCGAGTTTCCTCCGACAGAGGCTCCGCTGCAGACTCTTCACATGGACGTGTGGGGCCCCGCCCGCGTCCGTGGCTAGGGTCACGAGCGTTACTTCCTGTTGGTAGTTGACGACTACTCGCGTTACACCACAGTGTTCCCCTTGTGAAGCAAGGGTGACGTCACTGAGGTGTTGATCGACTGGATCCGCGCAGCTCGTCTTCACCTTAGAGAGAGTTTCGGCTCAGACTTTCCTGTTCTATGTCTGCACTCTGACAGAGGCGGGGAGTTTTCCTCTGCCCGTCTGGGAGCCTTCTGTCGTGCACAGGGCATCCGCCAGACATTCACGCTTCCGGCCTCTCCACAGCAAAATGGGATTGCAGAGCGCCGCATTGGCATGGTCATGGATGTCGCTCGTACGTCCATGATCCATGCAGCTGCTCCCCATTTTCTGTGGCCGTTTGCGGTTCAGTACGCAGCGCATCAGCTCAACCTTCAGCCCCGGGTCTCCTTGCCAGAGACCTCCCCCACCTTGCGGTGGATGGGGAAGGTTGGCGATGCGTCTGCGTTTCGTGTCTGGGGATCTCGGGCGTTTGTCCGCGACATGTCTGGGGACAAGCTGTCCCCCCGTGCGGTTCCCTGCGTCTTCCTTGGCTTCCCCCTTGGCGCGCCTGGTTGGAAGTTTTACCACCCCACCTCGCGCCGTGTTCTGTCCTCCCAGGACGTCACGTTTGACGAGTCGGTTCCTTACTACCGTCTCTTCCCCTACCGCACTACGCCCCTCCCCCCGCCGCCGCTCTTCCTTGCGCCAGGTCCCCCCCCGGTAGACCCCCTCCCCCCTCAGGGTCCTGCTCCGTTGGGTGTGTCCCAGGTAGACGCAGTCGAGCCTGTCGAGGTAGCTGTTGACTCTGGTAGTGCTACGGGTGCTGGGCCTAGGGGTGCTGGGCCTTGGGGTTCTGGACCTAGGGGTGCGGAGCCTGGGGGTGCGGAGCCTGGGGGTATGGAGCCTGAGGGTGCTGAGCTTGGGGGTGCGGAGCCTGGGGGTGCTGGGTCTACTCGTATGGCCTCTGGCGGTGCTGGGTTTTGGGGCCCTTCGGGTGCTTTGTCGAGGCGGGAGCTACCCTCTCCACAGGAGCAGCGCGAATGGTTTGCCCGGCGCTGGAGCCGTGCTGCTGGAGCTGGAGGTGCTACTGTTGCTGCTGACCCTGGGGTCGGCACTGGAGGTACTGGAGCCACTGGTCCTGGAGGTGCTCGTACTGGCGGTACTGTAGCTACTCGGACTGAGGGTGCTGCTGGGGCTGCTGGAGCTGGTCCTGCTGGAGGTGCTGCTGGTGCTGCTGAAGGTACTGGAGCTACAGGGCCTGGAGGTGCTCCTGGTGCTGGAGCTGCTGGCGGTGCTGGAGCTGGCGAACCTGCTGGAGTTGGTGCTGCTGGAGCTGCTAGAGCAGGAGTTGCTGGAGCTGCTGGAGCTAGAGCTGCTGGGGGTGTTGGCGCTGGAGGTGCTGCTGGCGCTGGTGCTTTTGAGGGTGCTGGAGTTGGCGCTGTTGGAGCTGGAGGTGCTGCTGGCGCTGGTGCTGCCGCTGGGGGTACTGGTGCTGTCCGTGCTGGTTCTGGAGGCGCTGCGCGGCCACGGCCGTACTTCGTTCCACTCCTTGAGCAGGTTCTTGGTCTCCCGCTTTCTACTGGTCCTGCTCCTCCCTTAGGGTGTCCACAGCCTGTCCAGTCGCGGTCACAGTTACAGCCCGCCTCCCCCCTATCTGCTCCTTCTCCCTACACTGGTCCTACTGGAGGTCTTGCTGAGCGTCGTGAGCCTGCGTCTCATCCTGCGTCGCCTGTTCGTGCTGCTCGCCCTAGTAGTCGTGCTCCGCGTCTGCGTCCTCCTGCGGTCCCAGGCACACACCAGATGGCACTGCGTCCTTCCACTGCTCCTCTGCGTGTCCCGTAGCCGTCTCCTCCAGAGTCCTCTCTTCCTGTCCTTGCTGACCCGGAGTCTGACTCTCTTCGTGCTGCCAGTCCTACTGTCACGCGTCTCCTGGCTACTGTTGTCACTGACCCTTCCTTTGAGTCCACTGCTACGTCTGCCTTGGTTGCTGAGCTTCTCGACTTTGTTGCTCGCTGTCGTCTAGACTACGCTGCTAGTCTTGTTGCTGAGTCTGGGTCTGTCTGTCCTCCGTCCGTCGGGGGTGAGTGTGCTCTTAGCATGGACGTCCTTGAGGACAAGCAAGAGGAGTTCTAGTGTTTTGCTGCTGCTTTGCCTCATTACTGAGGTGGCGGAGGCGGCGGCGGCAGCAGTGGAGCTGGTCGCGGCTCTGTGTAGAGGAGTGGCTCAGCGCCAGCTGCAGCAGCGCACTCGTGAGACCCCGTCCCCCCAGCAGCTTCGTGAGTGGTACGCTGGGCTTCAGCGAGGTGGGGGTACTGGTCCCTGCACCTACGTGCTCCGTACCAGCGACCGCGCTGGTGAGCAGTGCGGGAGTTCGCACTCCACCCAGCGCTGCTTCGGCCGCCTGACGGACGCTTGGCGTCACCAGTTCCCTGACGCCACTGAGATCCCTCGCTGGGGAGGGCTGTCTAGGGCGGGGGTTGCTATCTTTGATCTTGACCATGATGCTATACTTGCTGCCATGTATGATGTGTCTACTAGTGATGAGGGCGACTGTTACTTGTGTGTTCCACCTGACCCGGCCATTAAGACTGCTACTCTAAGATCCGATGAGGCTGCTGCTCTAGGTGGTGGTGAGGATACTGCTCTAGGTGCTATTGAGTCTGCTGCCCCAGGTGCTGGTGAGTCTGCTCTCTCAGGTACCACGTCGGCTCAGGCCTCCCACACCTTCACCCTTGACTCGGGTGCTTCCCGCTCCTTCTTTCGAGACCGCACCACACTCCACCGCTTAGTCAGCCAGTGGCGGTCTCCTTGGCAGACCCCTTCGGGGGTCCTATCCTTGCCCACTTCTCCACTGTCTTACCGTGTCCGGCGGCCCCCTCTGGCACCCTGTCAGGTCTTTACCTCCCCTCGTTCTCTACGAACTTGGTGAGTGGTGCAGATCTACAGGATAGGGGGGTTCACCAGTTCACTCCTGCGAGTCAGCGAGTGACCCACTGCACGTGTGCTCGGACGGGCGGACACTTGGCGACGTTTACCCGTTGACCAGGGTCGAGCCTGTACACACTGACTACTGGTCCTCCTCAGTCTACTGCATCTGGTCAGGTAGCTGCGTCTGGTAGGCGTCTGCTACGACGTCCAGGTCTGGTCCTGACTCTGCCCCCTGCTCGTGTCGTCTCCTGTCTCACCAGACTCTCCTCTGGCACCACCGCCTTGGTCACCCCTCCCTGCCTCGTCTCCGAGGCATGGCCTCACGTGTCTTTGTCTCTAGTCTCCCCCGGTCCCTCCCTCCCCTCCCTCCGGGGCCTGCCCCTACCTGCGTTCCCTGCGTCGAGGGGCGGCAGCGCGCCGCCCCTCACTCCTCCGAGTTTCCTCCGACAGAGGCTCCGCTGCAGACTCTTCACATGGACGTGGGGCCCCGCCCGCGTCTGTGGCTAGGGTGACGAGCGTTACTTCCTGTTGGTTGTTCACGACTACTCGCGTTACACCACAGTGTTCCCCTTGCGCAGCAAGGGTGACGTCACTGAGGTGTTGATCGACTGGATCCGCGCAGCTCGTCTTCAGCTCAGAGAGAGTTTCGGCTTGGACTTTCCTTTTCTGCGTCTGCACTCTGACAGAGGCGGGGAGTTTTCCTTTGCCCGTCTGGGAGCCTTCTGTCGTGCACAGGGCATCCGCCAGACCTTCACGCTTCCGGCCTCTCCACAGCAAAATGGGATTGCTGAGCGCCGCATTGGCATGGTCATGGAAGTCTCTCGTATGTCCATGATCCATGCAGCTGCTCCCCATTTTCTGTGGCCGTTTGCGGTTCAGTACGCAGTGCATCAGCTCAACCTTCAGCCCCGGGTCTCCTTGCCAGAGACCTCCCCCACCTTGCGGTGGATGGGGAAGGTTGGCGATGCGTCTGCGTTTCGTGTCTGGGGATCTCGGGCGTTTGCCCGCGACTTGTCTGGGGACAAGCTGTCCCCCCGTGCGGTTCCCTGCGTCTTCCTTGGCTTCCCCTCTGACGCGCCTGGTTGGAAGTTTTACAACCCCACCTTGCGCCGTGTTCTGTCCTCCCAGGACGTCACGTTTGACGAGTCGGTTCCTTACTACCGTCTCTTCCCCTACCGCACCGCGCCCCTCCCCCCCTCGCCGCTCTTCCTTGCGCCAAGTCCCCCCCCGGTAGACCCCCTCCCCCCTCAGGGTCCTGCCTCGTCGGGTGTGTCCCAGGTAGACGCAATCGAGCGTGTCGAGGTAGCTCTTGACTCTGGTACTACTACGGGTGCTGGGCCTGGGGGTGCTGGGCCTGGGGGTGCTGGACCTAGGGGTGCGGAGCCTTGGGGTACGGAGCCTTAGGGTATGGAGCCTGGGGGTGCGGAGCCTGGGGGTGCTGGGTCTACTCGTATGGCCTCTGGCGGTGCTGGGATTTTGGGCCCTTTGGGTGCTTCGTCGAGGCGGGAACAACCCCTTTCCACAAGAGCAGCGCGAGTGGTTTGCCCAGCGCTGGAGCCGTGCTGCTGGAGCTGGAGGTGCTACTGTTGCTGCTGACCCTGGGGTCGGCACTGGAGGTACTGGAGCCACTGGTCCTGGAGGTGCTCGTACTGGCGGTACTGTAGCTACTGGGACTGAGGGTGCTTACGCGGAGGCGATAGAGGGTCCCTACTCCTCTCAGTGGCAGGCAGCTATGGATGCAGAGATGGCTTCGTGGAAGTCCACAGGCACCTACGTTGACGCTGTTCCCCCTCCTGGGGCGAACATCGTCAGTGGCATGTGGATTTTCAGGGTGAAGCGGCCGCCGGGTTCTCCGCCTGTCTTCAAGGCGCGGTACGTGGCTCGTGGCTTCAGTCAGCGGCAGGGGGTTGACTACTTTCAGACCTTCTCCCCCACCCCGAAGATGACCACTCTTCGGGTTCTGCTGCACGTTGCTGCTCACCGTGACTACGAGCTGCACTCTCTCGACTTCAGCACAGCTTTCTTGCAGGGCAGCCTGCACGAGGAGATCTGGCTGCGTCGCCCACCTGGCTTCACTGGGTCTTTCCCTCCTGGTACCCAACGGCGTCTCCGGCGTCCAGTCTACGGTCTCCGCCAGGCGCCACGTGAGTGGCACGACACACTGAGGACTACGCTCGCGGCACTTGGGTTTGCTCCTTCTACTGCCGACCCGTCGCTGTTTCTGCGCACCGACACCTCTCTGCCGCCGTTCTACATCCTCGTGTACGTCGACGACTTGGTCTTTGCCACAGCAGACACTGCTGGACTCGCCTACGTGAAGTCCGAGCTGCAGAAGAGACACACGTGCACTGACCTGGGTGAACTGCGCAGCTACCTTGGCTTGCAGATCACCCGGGACAGAGCACGCCGCACCATTACCCTGACTCAGTCACACATGGTGCAGCAGGTCCTTCAGCGCTTCGGCTTCACGTACTCCTCGCCTCAGGCCACTCCTCTGCCTACTCGCCACTCGCTCTCAGCTCTGCCTTCGGATGAGGCTGCTGGAGTTGGTCCTGCTGGAGGTGCTGCTGGTTCTGCTGAAGGCACTGGAGGTACTGGAGCTACTGGGCCTGAAGGTGCTCCTGGTGCTGGAGCTGCTGGCGGTGCTAGAGCTGGCGGTCCTGCTGGAGTTGGTGCTGCTGGAGCTGCTAGAGCTGGAGTTGCTGGAGCTGCTGGAGCTAGAGCTGCTGGGGGTGTTGGCGCTGGAGGTGCCGGTGGCGCTGGTGCTTTTGAGGGTGCTGGAGTTGGCGCTGTTGGAGCTGGAGGTGCTGCTGGCGCTGGTGCTGCCGCTGGGGATACTGGTGCTGTCCGTGCTGGTTCTGGAGGCGTTGCGCGGCCGCGGCCGTACTTCATTCCACTCCTTGCGCAGGTTCTTGGTCTCCCGCCTTCTACTGGTCCTGCTCCTCCCTTAGGGTGTCCACAGCCTGTCCAGTCGCGGTCACAGTTACAGCCCGCCTCCCCCCTACCTGCTCCTTCTCCCTACACTGGTCCTACTAGAGGTCTTGCTGAGCGTCGTGAGCTTGCGTCTCGTCCTGCGTCGCCTGTTCGTGCTGCTCGCCCTAGTAGTCGTGCTCCGCGTCTGCGTCCTCCTGCGGTCCCACGCACACACCAGATGGCACTGCGTCCTTCCACTGCTCCTCTGCGTGTCTCGTTGCCGTCTCCTCCAGAGTCCTCTCTTCCTGTCCTTGCTGACCCGGAGTCTGACTCTCTTCGTGCTGCCAGTCCTACTGTCACACATCTCCTGGCTACTATTGTCACTAACCCTTCCTTTGAGTCCACTGCTGCGTATGCCTTGGTTGCTGAGCTTGTCGACTTTGCTGCTCGCTGTCGTCTAGACTACGCTGCTAGTCTTGTTGCTGAGTCTGGGTCTGTCTGTCCTCCGTCCGTCAGGGGTGAGTGTGCTCTTAGCATGGACGTCCTTGAGGACAGGCAGGAGGAGTTCCAGTGTTTTGCTGTTGCTTTGCCTCATCTCGTGTCCACGCTGATTGCCCCTGAGGGAGACCCGGATGCACCAGACATCCCGACTCTTCGATCTTACGCTGAGGCGATCGAGGGTCCCTACTCCTCTCAGTGGCAGTCAGCCATGGACGCAGAGATGGCTTCCTGGAAGTCCACAAGCACCTACGTCGACGAGGTTCCCCCACGTGGGGCGAACATCGTCAGTGGCATGTGGATTTTCAAGGTGAAGCGGCTGCTAGGTTCTCCGCCTGTCTTCAAGGCGCGTTACGTGGCTCGAGGC